AGCGCTTCTCTTTCTTGTTCTCCGGAGCGGAGTTCTTCCTCCAGCATGACGCTCCGTTCAATAGTCTGATTGTATTTCTGTTCCAAATCTTCAAGGGAAGACTCTGTGTTTCTTTGCTTGCGCTCGTAGTCGTCATTGGCGACCTCGGTGTCGCGAAGGCGCAGATTTAGCTCCCGGTTGGTCTCTCGGAGTTCTCTAATCTCCTTTTGCAGTGTGTTTTGAACATTCGACGCTTCGGTCTTGGACTGCTTGTATTTGGTCTTCCATTCCTCAACCTCATACTGGAGATTGGCCGCTCTCTCTTTGAGTTGGCGCTCACGTTTCTCTGACGCATCGATGTCACGTTCAAGCTCCGCTTCCAGGTCTTTACTGGAGGCTTGGAAGTCTGCAAGCTCCGCTTCTAGCAGTTCGTATTGCGCTTTGTAGTATCTCAGTGACTCTTCCAAAGAGGAGCTCGGTCCAGGGGGTGACGAAGGGACCGTGTCTGTATGTGGCATCTTGGCCTTTGCTGGTGGGGTCGTTCGGCTGTCTGGTTATTGTCGCTTAGTGTCGTTGTGTTGGTTGACGGAATCGTTTATCGGAGGCTGCGCGATTCTGCCTGTCGAGGTGACTCTTCTGGATATTTGGTGGTGGCCTGTTGCTGGTTTCCGATTGATGCGACGCGGGTTTCGGGCGGTGAGGTTGGCTCGGTTCGGTTGTTGTCGTCGAGATATCTGTCGTTCGCGCAGATATCTAAGGGGCGTATCGTCGCTATTGCTGCTGCTGCTATGGTTAGTATTCACGGGGTGAGCCTGCGCTGGGCTGACGGTCCCTGCGAGGAGGCAGTGGAAGCGCCGTTTTTGTTGTATCAGAGTTGATAGAAGGGGCAGGCAAATAAACGCAGGCACGTCTAACGACAAACAACGGGTTACCGCGCACTAGGCGACACTAGGCCGGGGGGTTGGGAGATGCACTGGACACGCACTGGGCTGACGGGGCCCTGCACTGGCAACAGCCGACTGCCAAGGGGAGCCTATTCATGACCTCGTGCACAGAAATTCTCCGATTGAGTTTGTCTTCGGGTTCCTCTGTTTGTACATATTCTGGGTCCTTCCGGGTCTTCTTCTTCATGCCGAACGGGTCTAGCACTGCATGGACATCCACATCTAGGAAGAAGACTGCAGCCACCCAGCAGTCGTGGAAGTACAAGAACACAAAACACGTGATCACAAGAGGTGTGTCTTGGCAATTGCTCTTCCGCCCAATACCTCCACAAGGTTTTTCTCCTTTGTAGGGAATTCTATTCTTAATCCTCCTGTAGACTTGTCATTCTCTGACTGCTCCTGTTATTTGATACCACCGCCTCACTTCCAATGGTTCAAGAAGTCTCTCACCTGGACCAGGTCCAAGCAGACCCCTACCTGTACCCACACGATGCTTCCCTGTCGCCGGAAACGACCGCGCTGGTTATTATCGACATGCAGCGGGACTGTAGGCTTACTGCTTAGCAAGATGCTTGGACTGGTGCGCTGATATTCCTCCTCTGTAGTCTGTGAAGTGGGCGGGTACTTTGACTGTCAAGGATACGATGTGGCAGACGCCCGTGCCATCATCCCAGCCATTCAAGCCCTTCTTTCTACCGCACGAAAAGGCTCATTCCCGGTCTTCTTCACTCGAGAAGGTTTGAGGCTGACATCACGCGGTCATCAGAATGCTTTGCTGAGACTCCTGTAGGTCACAGGCCAGACCTCTCCACCTTGTCAAGTCGCGAACGATTTCGGTCTCGCAACAACCCTCGACATCTGGGTATTGGTGACAGCGGCCCATTGGGAAGATTCTTGATTCGTGGAGAAAAGGGTCACGACGTGATCTCCGAACTCAGACCGCTGCCCGAAGAGATCATTATCGATAAACCTGGGAGAGGCGCATTTGCTCATACGGATTTTGAGCATATCCTGCGGCTTCGTGGCATCAGGAACTTGATTCTGACGGGAGTAACCACAGATGTCTGTGTTTCCACCACCATGAGGGAAGCCAATGACCGCGGCTTTGACTGCCTCGTCCTAGAAGACGCCACAGCTGCAGCCACCCCCAAGTTGCATCAATTCGCATTAGATTCCGTCAAAATGGAGGGGGGTATCTTTGGCGCCGTAACTCAGTCTGGCAAAATAATCGATGCCATGGATACTTGGGCCTGATCACTAAGCCTACCACACGATTCCCCCAGTCCATTTGTTGACCTCTTTCAACACTCAGGGGCATCACATTTTCCTGAACGTATTCCCTGATGCACTTCTTCGATCTTGACCTCTCGATGTTTTTGTGATGCCGCCATTAGTACTGTTTGTACGTTTTGGCTTCTTGGTCGGATCAAAAGATATTACCTTGTCACCGACAGCCTCGCCAAAACCAGTTCTTCGTTTGGTCCGTTCGACTGGCCGGAAGCTTTCAGCTCGAGAGCCAAATGAGCGATCGTGTGATGTTCTTGCAGCATTGTTCGACTTAGAAGACGTGACGCGCATCTGAATTTGATCGCCCCTCTTCTTCTGTTTCTTGCCCGAGTGGCGTCTGTAATCGGCAGTCGATATTCGATCTGTTGTTTTGTATTTGGAGGGTCCATCATCTTCACCTGTCTGATCCTCATCACTCGACCCAGGAACTTCGTCGATCGCTTCCTCTTCGACAGCGGTCAAACCCTTTTCTCGGTCGCGATCCAATGCAGCCACCTTGGTGCTAGCGTTGAGTTGCTGAAACTCCCTGGAAGTCTCATCCACTGCGAAATCCTCATCTTGGAAGAGTTTGGCGAAACGTGAATCTGCAAGGAGACCCTTCTCCTCATCTTGAGCAGAGAGAACCTTGGTGGCCTGTGCAGCCGCAGCCTCATCGCCTCCTTGTGCCAATACCCTTTGAGCGCGACGTCGTTCATTCTTTTCCTCGCGTTCAAGTATTCGTTCCACCATCTTCCGGTTGACTTTGACACTGATTTTCTTCTTGCCACGGATTCTGCTCTCGCGTTCTTTGTCGATCTTCGCTTGAACCCGCTTCGCTCGCTCTTCTTCCCAGGTCGTCGGATTTGCAATCAGCTTGGCTTCCTCATACAATCCCTGAGCCACGAAGAAGCCATGCATGTATGGTCGGAGGAGATTCGTCTTGCCCACGAGGTGATCCAAGTTGAGCATGCGAAGTTGAGGCGGCGTGAGGAATTTGTAGTTGTCGTACACCTCCCCTATCTTTGACTTTGAGTACGCGTACGGATCATTTGGATCCTCGGTCATCTCCTCGACGACATTGTCCAGGAATGAACACCACTTTGGGGCCGGCCCAAGCTGTGGAATGAAGAATGCATGTTGTTGTCGACCTTCGTTGGCCGTCAGAAACATCCCACTATCTTTGCACCAAGCAACGCAGTTAATGTCCACCGCTGGCTCTACCGACGTCCAAGGTGTTCCGTCCCGCTCGTCCCAGAGCTTCAATATCCGTCGGTCTGCTGAGGCGACTTTAGGCTCTCCAATGGAATCTCGGGTCTTGACACCCTGCGTCAAGAACTGTATATACTGGATTGGGTAACCGTAACCTTGGTCCTTCTTCAAAGTCGGAAGTGAGGATCGTAGATCGTAGAGGTAGATGAGACCAGATGAAGTTCCAACAGCCATGCTGATGCCAGAACGATGGAAGTCGAGAGCTGTCACCTGCGGCCGCCCTTCAAAGTCGGCAGGCACACCAAGGGTAGCCACTCGAGCTCTAGATCGCGTATCCCAATACTCGACCGTGCCTAGTGATGTGCCAAATGCCAACAGGTTGTGGCTGCCTTCTGCGACTGCAGCGACGTTGACACTGCCAGCTCTGATGCCTCCTTGTAAAGCACCACCGCCTATTGAGTTCATGTCGTCACCTCCAACGTCCACCTCAAACTCATTCATGAATCTTCCCAGCTCAAGATTAATCCTGAACACTTCTCCCATTCCATTTGCATTCACCCCAACGGCTGGAACCAGCAATTCGGTGCTGCTCCGGTCATACGCAAGGTCACGACCGTACCGCGGTATTCGTAGCGAATCATGACATCCACCAGGTGTATGAAACTCCAGGGAGCGGTCCTCTTGCAGATGAACAGATTTGGAATAATCGGAGGATAGGAAGATGAATGTCTTGTTCAAGGTATTGGTATGTCTTGCCCACGAAAGCGCAAGGTTGGGTAGGTAATGAGTATGGATTTGTGGCTTATATGTCCCCGTGCTCATGACCCATTCGCCATCTTCGCTGACCCGCACGCACTGACTGGCTTCCTCGAATTCAAAGTCTTGTAGCAGCTCGACGCGGTTGGCATATTCGGGGTCCTTTTTTCGCTTCTGCTGTTGCGAAAGCCCTTCCGGGAGGCTGCGAGAGGTCGACGAGCCAGACACCGTATAGACTGGAACGGTGCTGTTGGTTAGTCTCATGCTGGGCTCGTAGGAGAAGCGAGTTTCGCATGTCAATCCCAAACCATAGGTAACGCAGACATGTCAACCTGCTTCTTGTTAGTTGATTAACTGCTAAATGGCAAAACTGGGGCGTCACTTTCATACCTGGTGGCACTTCAACTTTTTTTTTTGGTCGGCTTGAAATCTCCAAGAAGCGGGTCACGCGAAATGCACGCCAAGATTTTGGGGCTGTCACGTGCTCAGAGATCGAAGTCTTCTGGTGCTGGTCCTTTGACGACGAACCTCTTATCCCGTGTTACAGTAGAGCTGGTCTCTTCCACTCCTTCCGTATCTTGCTGTCTCACTTTGGAAAAGGGAGCGTTATCCTACGTAAACCTGTGAGATCCAGCCTTTGAAGTCTATCGGCTCCGACCTCAGGTCATCTTACCAAGTCAGCCGACACACCGTGGCAATATCGCCCTCATAGCCTCGAGGGTTTTTTGACCGAGCAACCATTTCGCATGCTGGAAGACACTCGTGCAATGCACCTAAAACTCGAACAACTTGTATTGTCTTGCTGTTCCCGACGAGCAGCCCTTATCCCACCCAACGGTTGACGACATGAATACCACGTTGGAGTTCCCAAGTAACTGTTCCACCAATGTTTATACTCTTGTGAGTCGCGGAAAATATAACGGGTCTCATACCCAGTGAAACTAATAGCTGTCAAGAACGATTTTGGCGAGATAGCCTATATTGTTTGCACGGTGGCAACTCCGCCGACGCAGGACCCGTCCCAAATTGTCAGTAGTGTAGAGAATACTCTTGCTCGACTCCGAAGGACTGAGCGTCAGTTTCGAGAAGCATCCATTCTTGCTGCGCTAGATGTCGAAGCTCGTCAACTCTTCACCTTCTACAAGAAGGTGGACATTACTGCTCCGAAAGACCAAAAAACCCTACTGTTGAAGTTTGGTTACGTTCTGCGGAGCAATACTTGTACGATCGCCTACAAGACCGCTGCCCGCCTTCCAGACCTGCTGAAACCAGAGCACTCTCGGCTCTACCGACTGTTTCTTACTGCGATTGTGTCCAGCATCAAGTTTGTCCCCAATGGCGAGACTGATATTCAGCCATTGGGTGCCAATTTGTATCTAGTCGAGCAGTCCCCGTCGGTTGCTGATGTTCGTCAACTCGACAGGGTCAAGAAATGGCTCCTCTATCGTATCGATCTACAGGTGGTCTCAAGTGGCCATATCATACTGACAATCGCAAAAGATGGCGCATTCTCCTTCTTGCGTGTTCCGGACTGTGCTCCCACGCTAAACTGGAATGATCACACACAGTCCGAAGCAACGGCCATATACCTCGCACCCATTGCGCGAATTGCACGATCAACGCGATCAAAAATCCTCGCTCATAAAAGGTTTGCTGGCACGCCTGGCAACGCGGCCAATGACGAGACACCGCTTTCTGATGCGCGAAGAGAGATCTGGAGAGAGGTGCTACCGACTTGGCTCAAGGAACAAATGAACACCAGTATCGATGCAATGGAAGCTGACTGGATTGAGATCGAAGTACCTGTAGAGGAGGTCGATCACGTGTACAACGAAAATCAGCAAGATAATCCAAGTCCCGAGAGTATTAAGTGCGACTCGGTTACTTGGAAAACAATCTTTTGGCCCGTAGACCTTTGTTTTGTCTTTGCCGTCGAAGAGTCTGTCACGCCAAAGGAACCTCAAGGGAACCATGATCCAATGCAATTTGTGTGGGATTGGATTCTTGGTACAGGTGGCAATGCATCAAAGCTTGAAGCCGACCCGCAAAAGGTGGTTGACGAGGACGATGAGCCACTGTTTGCTGATGAGGGTGCATTTGACGATCCAGTGCATTTCCATCCGTTTGGACCTCCGGCCTTCGGGGCAGGCCAAACAATATATCCGACTCCGCCTGATGTTGGAATGACACATCCAACGCCGGGCTTCTCATCCTTTGATGGGATGTCTATGACTCCAGCAAATCTCCCTCGCAGTACTGCTGAACGGCCTCTTCCGCAGGACCAGGACATGCCAGATTTCGAGGACGAACCAACAACAGGCGGGCTGCAGACATATTATGATGAAGATTTGTTCGAGGAGCACCCGGATGACAATCTCGGCGCAGAAGCCAATGGCGACGAGCCTAATTGGGATTTCTTCGATGGTCCAGGGATAGATCCTACTTCTGCACGCTCTGCAAGTCACGGACGCCTCGAAGAGACAGCGGTGAGTGGCGAGACTCAGCCAGGCACCGAAGCCCACGGTCGAATAGCTGGTCAAAATGACGCTTCTCAAGGTCCATCTGTTGTGGAGGGCAATAGCACGGGCTCTGATATCGCGCCTAAACTACCCGCAAATACCAAGTTGCAGCAATCCCAAGAGCAGATGGAAGAGCCGACCAGTATTCTCCAGTTGCAAAATAAGCAGACACCACAACCTTCGTCAAAACAAGGTCCTCCTTTGTGGCAGCCCGAGGCAGCCAGAGAACCCAGAATTGGTGCTGAGCGTGGACGTCGTTCAAGTCTGTACGATGATCCATATTCACTGCTGTCCGTGTCAACACATGACAGTAGATACGGCGCGGGCGGGGATTATTGGTTCGATCCAACGCCGATCCTTTCTAATATGGAGGGCTATCCAAAGCCGAGCCCGGTCTTTCGGAGACCTGCATCAAGTTCATCAGACAGTGACAGTTTGATGACTAGTTCCAGCAATTCGGCAAACCCTGTGTCCAGGCAAAGTACAGCGCATGTGCCATTCAGACAATGGACAGAGTATCAACCTCCGTCCCCAAACGCTGCCAGTCGCCAGCCCGAGGTCGCCAAGTTGACGCTCTACCAGGACGTGCAACAGATACTAGGATCTTTGAGGCCTGGCTTGATAGAACCTCCCGCGCCATCCGACTTCCAGCTGGATACCCTCGAACCTCGCAAAATTCCTCCCGTATCCCCACAGACGCTCCTGCAAATCGCTCACGTTTTGGTTGAGCAGATGTCTCAGACAACCCTACTACCTCATGGAGAGTATTCGAGGGAGACACACCGTCCGCCTCGTGATCACATGGATGTAAGTGTTGATTTGAGCGGCATCAACACCTCTGCAACACCCTCGAATGTGTTTCAACTTACCAGCCTCAAAGCCGAACAAAACAATGGCAGAGTTCAGGGCAAGGTGGTAAGAATCCTGCCGGACCAGATACGTGCTCGTCGTATGGAGCGACCACTTACGGCCACTATCTCTATTCTGAATTTCTGGGATTCGCTGAATCTTCAACCTGAAAATGGACCAAAAGACGTGACTGTCTTTTGCATCCATCCGAATCAAAGTAATGTGGCGGAGGGATGTCTCAATCTGCTGCAGCGGCTCGCCGAAACTTACACTTCTTGTTCTCTGGGATCGCATACGATCGGCCGACTCTCTGGTCTCACTGATACTGGACTGGTATCATGGGGTTCGAATGACACGGGTGAGCATAACCTCCTTCAAACATGCCATTTCGTCGGTAAAGCTCTTGCAACTACTTCCGACGTGAAGGGTACTGTGCTTGTCTGTGTGATTGGCAGAAATCAGAGCGTGAATTCGTACCTGGAGGCCTGTATTGCCTTCTTCAGTCTCTTCGAATCATTCAGAGAGGCGCGAACGGACAACCATGGAGTGTCCGACATAGCTTTACAAGTCATTCCCAAAGAATTTGTCGCCAGTGCGGAATCATTGGTGATCCCTCCCCAAACAGCCTACATACGCCTGGCCATTGAGATTTACAACCGCATTCCACCGTCAGAACCTCCGGTGTCTCCAGCCGCTTGCAGCTCAGCCGTTGTGCTGTCGAAAACGGAAACTTCGGTGCATTTACAACTGACGCCAACATACTGCTCTCCTCTAGAGAAGCATGGACCATGTCTACATCTCGCATACTCCGTCAGTCAAGACAATAGATGGCTTACTGCGGCGTGGACAGACGAGACAGGGCATGTTGCACTTAGTATGTCATATTGTCTTCGCATTCGACACTCAGGGAAGAACAGGTCCCGCCATGGCATATTCCGAGAGATGTGGGATATTTCGCAAGACCTCATGAGCAAAATGCGGGGGCCATGGCGACTAGTGGTCGTAAGGCACGGATACTATGAGCAAACAGAGCTTCTCGACTGGCATCAGCTCTTCGAAAATTCCCCATCATCACAGAAACGATGTCTGCTAGTACTTCTGTCCGTCCAACTGGACCCAGATTTAGAGATCTTCCCGCCATCCACCCAAGGGAAAGGTACACAGATGGGGACACAGAATCTCTATGGGACACCTGCGTCAACGCCGCAGGGCAGTATGACGTCTCCCGAACAAACTGTACCAGCGACTCCAACGCCTGGTGGCAGTTCCTTTATGAATGCTCCGACACCTTCCGACCCTGGGTTCGATCCGAATAACGAGAGTGATCTTGTATTGGTGGATCCCTCTGAGGAAAGCTGGGGCGTCATTCTTCCATACGGAATTAACCAGACGAGGAGCCTCATCGAACTTCGACCGTCACAACTTACGGGTTACCTCATGAAACGTAAGGGTACCAAGGGAGAGGATGGGTACAACATGCTTGAGTTCAGCCTAGTCACCTCGTCGACCCGCATATCGGACGCATCGAGCGAGGCTCCACCAGACGAGTTACTTGAAGATTTGATCAAGCAGTATCGAGGCCTCGTGACTCTGGGCGCTACTCGAGGCTGCGTGGATCCAAACAGCGAATGCCTCCCTTGGCACATTGCGACGGCGATCAGAGGAGCCCAGCTTCTAGGGCAGGTCATGTAGTTCGCCTTGGTCTCTCCAAGTGGGTCGATGTGCCGACTTCGGAGCAGAGTGGAAGGCAATATTACTCGATACTACTCACAGAAATACTACGCTATGTGTCAAACCCTGCACAGGTACTATTGTTTTGTTGGCCAAGTGGTCCGCACCACAAGTCGGGCCTGGCTGGGCACTGGATATAACTACCTTGTACGTCCTTGCAACACATCGACCTTCCCAGCCACCACTACTCGCTACTCAGTTCTGCAAAGTTGATTTGACAAACAGTGGGACAATTGTCAGACCTGCTTGCCTGCTTACCGGGGCAAGAGGATCCGGCATCTGATTAGATCCTTGGATCACCGATTAGATTCTGGGTTTTTGCATGGCAAGGTCTAGCCGACTACTCCAAGAGGCACATCACCCACCCCCCGCGAAAGCGACAAGCTGGTATATCCCTGTTCGCCAACAAGACCAAATGAAATCACCCTCTCGGCTCTGTACTTGGCAACCCTGGCACCCTAGACAAGAGCTGATAGCCCGTCTCGCCCGTCCTAAAATGCCGCTTTTCCCGCCCCGCTTCGAAAATTTTTATCTGATGATCAGATTAGATGATGTTACTTCGTCCAATGGCTTTTCCATAGCGGCCATAGCGTCGACTTCGACCCCCACCCATTGCCTCACAGATCAAAGATCAAGGCTCCTGCACGAAAAATGTCCCGATATGACATTTTGTGTCTCCAGTGTCCCCTAGCTGGAGATCACTAATGGTGCTCGACTTATTATTGCCAAGGGGGGTGGAAAACTTTGAAGTTCACCTCCAACGTAACTCCAGTCGGTGTCGCCGTGTGACGCCCTCGCCTCATGTCTCAAGTACAACTATAACTAGACAAGCAGTTCCGTCTTCCCCTCCTGCGGTTTTTGGTATTGGATGGTATCCTTGACTGTGGACGCGTTGACAGAAGCCTCAGCAGGATCACAGTCTCTTTTTCATCATGTCGTTCTCGGACGAGTCTCACCCCAAGGCTAAGGACATGCCGTCCGGCCCTAAACTTGCCGAAGATAGTGTGCCCCATTCGGCCGTTGAACAGCCTCGTCGACGCAGTTCTATCGTTGAGGCAGAGAAGTCGCCTGGTGTGGCGAGGATCGAGGCCATCAATCAAGTCCTCACCCGGACCGATCGTGTATTCCTCTTCATTGGCGTCTTTCTCATTGCCTACGCCTATGGACTGGATGGCATTACTCGGTATACATACCAGACCACTGCTACAGCATCGATGGGCCATCATTCCCTGCTGGCCACAATCAACACGCTTCGTGCCGTCATCGCCGCCGCTGCCCAGCCGACCGCTGCCAAAATTGCCGATGTCTTCGGCCGTCTGGAGCTCGTCTTCGTCAGCGTGGTCTTCTACGTTCTGGGATCTATCATTGAAGCCTGTGCGACCAACGTCGACGCTTTCGCCGGAGGCTCTGTTCTCTATCAGATCGGCTACACTTGCGTCATCTTGTTGGTGGAGGTGATTATTGCCGACATCACCTCCCTGCGAGCACGATTGTTCTTCAGTTACATTCCCGCACTGCCATTCGTCATCAACACTTGGGTGAGCGGCAACATCACTCAATCTGTGCTGGGTGCGACCACGTGGAAATGGGGCATTGGCATGTGGTGCATCATCTATCCCGTGTGTGCGCTGCCGCTCATGATCTCTCTCTGGTTGGTTAGTCGGCGTGCCCGCAAAGCAGGAGTATTGGAAAAATACAAAACGCCCTACGAAATGCTGGGCGCGAGGAGACTGGTGGTGGAGCTCTTTTGGACGCTCGACGTCGTTGGGATCATCTTGTTGATCGCCGTCTTCGCTCTCATTCTTGTTCCTTTGACCATTGCGGGAGGCTCGACTTCTGCATGGGGGACCGCCCGTGTCATTGCGCCTCTTGTCATTGGAATTCTCTGTGTCCCGGTTTTTATCGTGTGGGAACTCAGAGCACCTCGACCACTTGTGCCCTTCCACCTCCTGAAAGATCGCGGCGTCTGGGGTGCGCTAGGGATTGCATGCACCTTGAATTTTGCCTGGTACATGCAAGCCGACTATCTCTATACGGTCCTGATCGTCGCCTTTGATTTCAGCATCATGGGTGCCACGCGTATCACCTCCTTGTACAGCTTTACATCTGTCATCGCCGGCTTCCTCCTGGGTATGGTGGTCTACAAGGTCAGACGCCTGAAGTGGTTCATCGTGGCTGGAACCTGTCTATTCATGGTTGCGTTTGGGCTTCTGATTCACTACCGCGGGTCTCCCAACTCCTCCGGGCAGTCGGGTGTCATTGGTGCACAGGTCCTCCTAGGATTTGCCGGAGGTTTGTTCCCGTACCCAGCCCAGGCCTCGATCCAGGCCGCAACCAAGCACGAACATGTTGCCGTCATCACTGGCCTGTACCTGGCCACCTATAACATCGGATCCGCTTTGGGAGGTGCGATCTCGGGGACCATCTGGACCAACGTGCTTCCAGGTGCGCTCGAAGAGAGATTGGCGCCACTTGGCAACTCGACCCTTGCAGCTTTGACGTACGCCGACCCCTTCTCGATTGAAATCGAATACCCCATCGGCACACCGGTGCGGACAGCCATCATCGACGCATATCAGCACTCACAGAGGTTGCTCTGCATCACAGGTATCTGCCTCTGCACGCTTCTGATCGGGTTTGCACTCTGTCTCCGCGATCCTAAACTGGGCGATGAACAGAGTTTGCCCGACGCGGAAGAGAAGGAGTATGTTCGTTGAAAGAGGAAGAAGACTGTCACTCATTTGGCTCCTGGATCTTGGGAGTAAGGTGAAGTGAACCCACTGGGAAACAACCGTTAGGGAGTCCTCTGGCCTACCAAGCTAACAACGTCCACAAGCTCTAAGCTCTAAGCTATATCTTCTATGTACACTGTCATATTTTTGTAATAAAAACCTTATTGCACAAATCACCTACTTTACTACCTCGTACTGTTCTAACACGGACCTTGACTGTGATTGTCAACGGACAGGGCCAGTATTGGTCACCCCGACATTGCGCAAACTATATTCCACCCACCCACCGGGGCGGGTGGAGATCAAAGGCTCTATTCCGCTCCGCTCAGCGCAGGGACGAGGAACCACGAACTATATCCCATGTTCACATAGTCACATATTCACGTTTTTTTGAGGGGTTTCTGGATTCTATTGGCTAACCAGGCCTTGATGCCTTGAGGACGATTAGGACCTTGCGCACAAGTCACAAGTCACTATGTCGTCTTTCCTATGTGTGAGGACTTCCTGGCACGCCTATGGGGATATATATGAGACCAGAGACCATGGTCGTCCACCAAGTCCTTCAGATGACAAGACAATACTTACCGTCAGCTTCCTTTTCCTCTCCGAACAGCGAATCCACCTTGAACAGAATAGACTCACACACCTCCAGTAACATCATGGCCATCAGACCTCTCCTCGTCATGAGTCTCCACGCCATGGCCACAATCACAGCGGTGGCGCACCCGGTCGATACCATCAAGTCTGTCAGGGCAAGGGCGATTGCCGCAGGGCCGTCGATCGACATGTTCAAGCCAGACAACGACGGGGCCAAGAACATTGCCGGTGTGGTGGGTGATGTGACGGGTGTCATCACCGGCATTCCCATGGGCACTGGTGCCGGTGCCGAAGCTGCGGGTGCCATGCCTGGCGATATGTATGGCACACCCGCCGACGCGTACGACCTCCCTGAAGATGCATACGATGCATACGGCTACCCTGAAGATGTATACGATGAATACGGCTATCCTGAAGACGTGTACGACCTCCCTGCCGACGCATACGACCTGCCGGCGGATGCGTACGACCTACCTGACGGCGACGTTTATTCCACTCCCACCAATTACGACGAGGAACCCTCGAGGACGTCTCCGCAATATTCCAAAATGACCATCGGATGTAGGGCGAAAGGGTGTGACAGTGTGGTCAAGGTCTACGACCTCGCCATGCCGGTGCCGACGCACAGCTGTCCCCGGGATGCGCTCGCCGCCCTGGCCAAATGGCGGCTGTTCTGTGACAGACCTCCCAAGGTCTTCAACAATCTGATTCAGACGGAACCCAATTGCTGGAGCCGCGCACCTTCCATCGACCGGTGCTGCGGCGAATGGGTCGACCTCGACGATCCGAAATACAAAGACTATCCGTCACGGTACATACCGATGGAGAAGGGCTTTGCAGACGACACGTACGTGGCGTCCTGGATACCCGAGATGGGGGACCATGGGGACCGCCGCATCATCAAGCCAGGCTGGCACGAGTACAACGTGAAGACGGACAAGTGTCAGTTCTGGCGACCCGAGGACGAACTCGAGTTTGCGTACTTTATCAACACGCTGCCAAACTATGGGATTTGGGATGTGGATGAGACGGGCAAGATCTGGGGCCAAACCGCATGGAATGCCGAGGGCGTGTCTCCGGGGTCGCTGATACCGGGCTCTGACAGCGAAATGGATCTATCCAAGGCCGTGGGAGGTTGATTGTTGGGAGATGTTTGTAGTCATTGTGAGTTTTGGATGTCTTGGGCATTTGAGCAAGCGAGTTGTATATCCGGTTGGGCGGGTTGGAGTAATACTGAGACGGGGGGTGCTTCGTTATTACCTGTATTCTATCTATTTCCCATGTCAAAGCAGGTCTAGATCTGTATGTACAAAAATCCTTGGATGAGATTCACATACTCGGTACACCATCGCTACGCAGTGATTTGTGGTTTGTGTAACCGTCGCGGTGAATCTGTACATACATCAAATTGTTGATCCATGACGTCGCGTTGATGGTTGTGGCGTCACCACGCGTCGATGGGGCGTGAAACTGGGTAGAAAGTCAAAAGTCAAAGTAAAAGTGAAGCGGAGGTTGAAAGCGAGCGAAAGCGAAGGTGAAAAGCTGCTGCAACAAAAAGGAATCTTCAGATGCGCTTCACACCCGGTTTCATTCTGCCCCAATTGATCGGATCGGCTTGTTGGAACTACTCTG